GGCGGCGGTCGCGGTGGTCGATTCTAAAGTTACGCTCTTCGAACATCGATATCTATATATAAAAGTAGCGTATTGTGTATTAAAATGACCAATAGAAGATTGATAGGACACCGATATACGCTTTGCGCTACCTTGATAATTGCCTCGTTCGTCTTCTCCGCATCGCCTCCATCTACAGCTTCATTCACGAGCCCAAGCGATAAGAGTGGAGCGAAAATTCAAGTTGCTAGACAATGAATCGGGTAACCGACAGATCGCCCCAGACTTGACCGCTATCGAAAAGACGCATGTCAAGCCGTCTCACCCTCGTGGTATTCAAATCCATGCTCAACGACGTGTGCCAACCCCATGTCGTATACTAGTATGGTGCTTGTGTGGCCGCTGGGAGTATGGCTGGCTATGTCAACACGGGCACCGCCGCCAACCTCTCTGGTGCGTTGTACTACCAACGATGTCGAGGCGATGATATCGCGGCTAGGCATTGGCGCTGGAGGCCTCCTCCTATGGTTTGGCTACGCGAGCCATGAAGAGGCCAAGACGCTGGAGCGACCACCGTCCAAAATCTGGTTTCAGCTGGCGCTTCTCGTCACGCTGGGGCTCGTCGTCTTGACTCTGCGCACGGTCGTCGAGACAAACGACGTGGCCCACGGCGGGCTCATCGCTGGCTCGGCCGTCGTGATGTCGACGCTCTACACATTGCACTTGCTCGAGGCCCCCGACGCGTCCAGCACCAAGGCAGCGTCAACGCAGCAGCAGCAGTGGTCGTAGTCGGGAATAGATAGTACAATCTCTTGTAAGTTAATCGTACGTTGGCGCGTTAAACGCGAGTGCAACTGATTTGCAGCCGTCAGTGTCCCAGCACCCACGCATCCCACGCTCGTACGCATGGTTGCTTCACGGTGGCGCTTGACGCCAAGGGCAACATGACTGCCTCATCACTCTCCAGAACTATCTTGTATAGGCTCCAGGTAGACTCTGTGCATGGCCTTGGCACACGCAGGTATAATACGAGCTCTGCTGCTGCTGCGTCGTGGCTGATGTCGGCCCTTTTCTCAGGGCATCAGGACATCCGAAAATCCGAATCTCAGCGTTCGACCAGGACCAGAGCGGGTTGCCTCACACGTCATTTCCGCTTCTTTGTGCTCCGAAGCATGTACGACTTTTGCCTCACTCTTCCCGTAAGCCCCATGCTACCAAGAAGAGGAAGCTCATGCTCCATGTGCTAGTATGGCGGCGCCATCGCCCTCGGCGGCCTCGTCGGCTACGTCAACTCGGGCAGCGTAATCTCGCTCACGGGTACGAATATGCCATGGTGACCGTCGTCGCTCATGCTCTCGTGTAGCGGGCTTGGGCGCCGGCTCGCTCCTCCTCCTCTTTGGCACGGCCAGCTACCAGGAATACCAGCAGAGCCCGAAGATCTCGAAGCTCTGGTCGGGCCTCTCGCTCGGCGTCTCGTCGGTTCTGACGGTCGTCATGGGCCTTCGCTACAAGGAGACGAACAGCCTCTTCCCGGCCGGCGTCGTCGCCGGCACGTCCGCGGCCATGTCGGCGTTCTACCTCTACAAGCTCGCGAGCAACGACAAGGCCAACTACAACAAGAAGAAGTAATTGTTGCTGTAATCCACCGATGCTGTGTTCAAGTGTAATTGCACGAGGCTACATGCGCCGGAGGCGGGGCGTGGCAGGAGTGAGAAGGTGTGGGCCCTGACTGCGCTTCGCAGGCGCCGTCGCGCGGTACTGGACAGCGTACTGCACGGCGTCTTGGAGCGCTTTGAGCAGCCAGTCGCGCTGGAGGGTGTTGGGGAGACGCAGGTCCAGCGTACGATCCTCGGTGACGAGGCTCAAGCAGCGGGACGGATCCAAGTCGGCGTGCTTGCGCGCGGCCCGCTTGAAGACATGCGTGACGTGGCCGACTTCAATGGCCTTGACGCTATGGAGTGGCAAGAACGAGCTCGACCGATCACCTTGCTTGGACTGCCAGTAGAGTACGCATGGGTGCGTCTCGTCGTAGTACAGCTTGGTCTCATGGGGCTTGCCGCGACGTCCGTACTTCACAATCGTCAGCTCGTTGATGATGCCTTTTGCCAACTGCAGCGTCGTCGCCTGCTTGGCCTTGGCTTCGATCACATGCTTCTGGGCCTTGGCCTTGGCGTCGAGGTCGTCTTGGACTTGCACGGACAAGTGGCTCAGCTGCGGAAACAAGTCTTCCTTTGTCAAGCTACAGGCCGATGTCAGTGAGTCGACTTCTAAAGCATTCGGCGTCGTACTCTTTCTGCGTATAGTGCGAGAGCATGTCACGGAGGCGGGACTTGGCCCACGGCAGTTCGTGCATGACGCCCTTGACGTAGCGCAGTTGCCGCAGCATGATGGCATTCTGTTGCAGCCCGAGCTCGAGCACGGGGGCGGGTATGGCAGCCGCGTTCGGATGCAACGAGAAGAGACTCATGTTAAGCGGCTTCCACTTGCGCGCAATCTTGATGCCGAGCCGCGACGGCGCGTCGCCGGACTTGATGGTTGACGACTTTTTTGCTTTGACCAAGACGAGCTGGTTGGCAAACCCGTGCTTGCCCGGGCTCATGCTCACTTTACCTACACGCACATCGTTTCGTGTCCTTCCGGATGCTGCCGTGTACCGGGGCTGCTCTTGCACGACACCAGCGTCAGCGACTTGCGGCGTACGCTCGACCGGCGGCGTGTCGGCGCTTGGGACGTGCTGCTCGTGGAGGGTCGGCGGGTCGCGGTCGGCGACGGCGCGCGTAGGGCCTCTTCTTTGACCGCTTTCGAGGCGATCGGCTCGAGTGCAAGCGGATTCTCGTCGGCAACATCGATTTCCGGCTTTTCTTCGCCGAGCTCTTCGACTTGGTTGGAATTCTCGGGCTCGATCTTCTTGTCGGTCTCGGCGCGGAGCCGGTCCATCTCGACGGAGCATGTGCGGATCGTATCGTGGAGCGCGGCCATCGTTTGCTGTGTCTGGTCGCGCTCGGCGACGTCTTTGAGCAACGCGAGCTTGAGCTTGGCCCGCAGCTTGGCGTCCCACTCGACCCGCTCTTGGCCAAGGAGCGTGAAGAGGAGCTCATGGAGGCCGCTGCCGGCCTTGGCGCCCCGGCCCGCCGGCGCCGGCAGGAGCTTGACCGCCACGGAAGCGGCCTCGTTGTTGGATGCGGCCATGAGCATCATCCTCGCCGCTTCGTCGTTGGAGTTCAAATCCGCTTCTGTCGGAAATGCGCTCGGTCCTCTGCAAGATGGCGCTTGGCGAAACCGTGGATCTGACGACGGGCCAATCAAATGCGCGCTCGATCCGAGCACGGCCCTGTGATTGGCTGTTTGGCGGCCGGCGGATGGGATGTTATAAATAGACGCTCGGATTGCTTCCGTCGACTAATTTTAGACGCCGACTCGTGGCCTTCCTAGTCGATGTCGACTAATTAGACTTTGCCTCCTCGTTCTCTCTCCATCCCATGTGTACGTGTGCACACATTAGCCTCCGGAAAAGACGGGCAAGAGAGCAAAATACTGGGTCCCATACAGCGTGCCAACGCCCGAACATTCCGTTTCAACGCCCGACGTCGCACCATGGACACGCACATTCGCGCACTCAACCTTGCGACGGTGTAGCAGCGTCCTAGCTCGCAGCTAGAGATGAGATCAATCCTTGTAAATCAGTAGCCCCTCCATGCTAGCTGACGTATCTGGAAGAAGTTGCATACCTTGAAGGAGGTTATGCTCAAATGGCGTTTCCACATCAAGTTGAAAATTACACTGGCGTCATCATCAATAGCGGCTTCTCATGACCCGGTCCAAGCATTTTGAGGAGCTGCAGGACCTTGTGGCGCGAACGGCCGAGCGTCGAACCACGGACGATGCCGCCTTTGCGACATCCTACACCAAGCTATTGCACGCGGTGCGTCACCGACGTCGCAACTCGCCGACAAAACTGAACACCACCGCCCACGATGGTATGTAGGCGTCGACTGCGTGGCAGTCAATAAGAGCGTAGTCTCGATCAACGACGACCCGCGGCCGGCCAAGCAAATGTCAGAAGACGAGCTCAAGCTCGTTGTGCAGCGAGTCCTTGCATCGGGCGATTCGTTCATACACAGTGCAACCGCCGAGATGCAGCATCTTCAGGACTTGCAGGGCCTCTACTTTAAAGAAACGAGCCGTCTGCGCGATGGCAACCTAGATCTTGACGTCAACTGTTCTATTCGGCGCTACGGAGGTACCACCTTTTTAAATAGGCCCGCGCACAGGAGCTCCAAGCATCACTGTCGACGCTTCAGGAAGACCACTCGGCTGCACAGGACGCAGTGTACGACGCTCACGCGCGCAAGCTGAAAGCAGCTCAGAGCAACCTTTATGATCTCTCGGCGCAGCTGACAACCCTACGCGTCTGCGCGTCCTGCCACTCTCCTTCTGACGAGGTCGTTAGAGTACGATCCAAGCCAAGGAAGATGAGCTGACGCAGCGCGCTCCGGCCATCGACGTCGGTCGACAAAACAATGCGCACATGTCACCTGCCTTGTGCATCGTAGAGCGCACTTGCTGCGCAGCGGGAACACGACCGTTTATGCCAGGACACCGAGACCCTGCAATCGAGTCTGTCTTCTTTCGTCTGTCGCTTGTCGAGACGTTGAAATAGAGCTACGGGCGTTGCAAGCCGAAGAGACGAAGCGGCAGCGCATGCACGAGAAGCGTCTCCGAGAAGCCACAGTCCAGCTCGAGGCTACGCAACGCGCTTGTGACAGCGTCCGCAACGAGGTGACCCACGCTGCATCGTTCTGCGTCTCATGAAGGCTCGTTGGTGCAGCTCTTGCGGGAGCAGGATGCGCTTCACGACGTGTCGGTTGCTATGAAGCACGTGGCGAGTAGTGCCTCCAAGCTCCACGCACCGCCCAGCCTACCGACGCCTCTGGCTTCGTCTCCCAACACTCAGACGCATCATACGACAGCGCATCTCTCGCGCATCCCGCGTCAGCCCAAAAAAGCAGTGATCAAGAAGCAACTAAGCAAATAGAACCATCTCATTCATCGACCGACACGTCAATTGAGAGCGTCGCCGTGTTGAAGGTGTACGCGGCCACATGCCCGCAAACGAGGTCGTAAAGACCCTCACCACATCGCTACTCTCAAGCGACTGACACGCAACACCCGTGAACATGCCTACGCCCGCCTCTATCAATGCTAGCGTCTTTCCATGTCTTCGTCGTACCCGAGCTTTGATCAAACGACGAAGCAACGAGCTCACCGCTGGCGCTGTTCCAGATGCGGAGCGAGCTGTCCTTGGACGCAGTGACGGCAAATGCATTCCTAGAGCGTCATCCTGACCCCATGGCTCGCGGAGAGGTGGTCGCACTTGTGGCGTACGTAGGCACACGCAGTGGCGTCTTGGAGGTGGACATGCATCTCCGTCACGAGCTTGCCTGTTCGTCGGTCCCAGACGCGGCCTTCGCACCCGACACCGTTGAAGCCTAGATTTGCTCGTAGCCGTAGGAGGTCGAGGGATCGAACCTTTGCTGGACGTGAGGAGGTAGTTGCCGTCGTCGCTCGCGTCAATTGAAAGTGGAAAATACACGTAGCCTTGGATGGTTTGCGCCGGCGACTTCCAGCTCCGGGCGTCCCAAAGGCGCACACAGAGGTCTTCGCCGCCCTGCGCCACGAGTGTCTCGCACTGCGGCACCCACGTCATGCACGTCACAATGTTCTGTGACGTCGTCGTGTGCTGCACGCGGGTGCCCGTCGTAACATCCCAGAGGCTCGTACCCGTGTCGCGGCTGCCCGAGGCCAAGTGCGTCTCGGGCGCTGTAGCAAGCACAACAGAGATCTGAGATGCCAAAACGAGACCTCAGCGTCGATGTACCGTTGATGGCAATTGCGCTCACCGACAAGGTATGACCTGTGAACGACTGCGGCGCTGCAGCTGGCACGTCGCTGCTGGCAATGGCCTGCTGCGATATCGTCGTGTCCCGGGAACATGCATACAAGCTATACGACATGCGTCGCGTTGCGGGTGAGCGTGGCGGTCATGTACATGTACCGTGGCGGTCATGTAATGTACCTTCGCGTCTTCGCGTGCGCTGGCAAGGACATGAGCACTTCGCGCGACTGCCAGTCAATGATCATGATGTTAATGATCATGACGCTGCCGTCGTCCCAGGCCGTCGCGATCAGCGACGGAAAGGCCGGGCTCAGATCGACGACCGACGTGGCCTATGTTCGCGATAAGCCATAGCGCGTTGCTGCAAGCGAACTGGAATCTCTGGGCGCTGCAGAAGCAGGGCCTCGGGCTTTTCGTTGACGTGCGCGCTCGCTTCGGCGGCTTCGTCGGTCGCCCACTGCCCCATATCGCGGTCCTTGGACGCGCATGCCCCCATCGAACCTCGGAAATGCCATGCCGTAACCGAAAGTATGTGTTTTGACCAATGGCATCGCGTGAATATCGTGTTTATTTGAAACACAGCTATGGATTGGCCAGCAGACCTGATTTATTGTGCTTCAACCAATGACATCGTTCATTTCTCCTTTCATTGATGCCATTGGTTATAAATCCGATCGCAGACGATTTCCATTCAAACTCGGAACCGGAGAGACGACAGCATGTCGGGACCGCAAGTGAGCCGCTCGAGCCTTCAGGTACAACAGCGTTGGTGCCATACAGAATCTCGATCCACTGTCTGCGTAGCTGTACCGCGATTGCCTGCGCCTGGCCAAGCACATTGGTGGCAACGTACGTCCATGGTTTGTACCTGTGTCGCTCATGCGGCGTCGTGCGTAGAGCCGCAAGGGCGAGGCCATCCGCAGCATGCTCCGCGCCGAGTTCCGCAAGTCGATGCACGAGACGGACGAGCTCAAGATTGAAAACCTCAAGGCCAAGTACGCATCTATCGATCCATCTCGCTGGCCTCCGCTCACGTCTCGCTTAGCGCCGTCCGTGGTCTTAGCAACTACTTGGTCCTCGCCAACTCGAGGTCCGTCGCATGCTCTATAGCATCTTGTGCTTAATGGTTTCCTCTCTAATAGTAAGGATGGCAAGCTCAAGCAAGCGATCAAGTCGACGGACGAGGCCTCCAACAGCGGTCCCCAGAATGCCGAGTGGAAAGAGCTTTAAGCGCACACACTGTATTTTGAGGCGCGTTGGACAAAGATCCACATTGTTAAACCTTCTCCAACAGACAACGTGTCTTGTTGTTAAAGTGGTTGTGTGTATTCGTCAAGTCATGAAGCCCCCGTTCCTGAGCCACCCTTTTCGATCATCTCATTCGATGCATAAGACCCATCGCTCCCTCAAGCTGCTCTTGCGACCCCTTGGCCATCACACAACGCAACAGTCCTCGTTCGCATGCAATGAATACATAGTATTAGTCTTCCAAAGTGAAGCCTAGCTGGATCATACAAAAGCGGCGGTGTGGTTGAATTGCGACGTTGTCATACTCTTACATGGAGAGCTCCATGTAGTCGTGCTGCGACGTCGCGCGATGCTGCTGGCGCACGGTCACGAGCGCGACGCCAACGGCCACGACGCAGACAAGACCAAGCAGCACCATCGGCGACGACGGCTGCATCGCGACCAGCAACTGCTCGGTGGCCGCCACGTCGTCGTCACTGGCCTCGCGCAAACTGAGAAAGCTCGCGACCGGGCAACTCGACGTCTTGCCGTTGCAGTAGGTCGGGCGGCTGTACCCGACGGGCTTTTGACACACGACGCCGTTGAGGAACTTGTCGACGCACGACCCCTCGCCGTCGCAGAGATCTTTGCCGTCGCAGACGCCGCCGCTCTTGGTGCCCGTGCAGGACGTCGACGGCGGCGCAAAGTCGTCGGGCGGGCAAAAGCCCATGTCACCCGTGCACGTGGCGGCCAAGATGCACGGGTTGCCCTTGGTGCCGCAGACCGTGCCGGACGGCAGGTACTTGTCGACGCACTGGCCTTTTCCGTCGCAGTAGTCTTGGCCGTCGCAAGGGTTGCCATTGCAGGTACCCGTGCACTTGGTGGTTGCACCCGCGAACGTGTCGGCCGGGCACGCGCCCTTGGAGCCGCAGCAGGTTTCGGCGACATCGCACGCGTCCTTGGCCGGGCGGCACACAAACTTGGAGCTTTGATACTTGTCGACGCAGTTGCCCTTCCCGTCGCAGTAGTCTTGCGCATCGCACGCACCGCCAGTCGACTTGCCAGAGCACTTGACCGAGGTGGACGCAAAGCCGTCGACCGGGCACTGACCAGACGTTCCGTTGCAGGTTTCGGCCACGTCGCAGTCGCTTTTGGACGCGCGGCACACCTTGTCGGACGCAAAGTACTTGTCGACGCAGTTGCCCTTCCCGTCGCAGTAGTCTTGATCGTCGCACGGGTTGCCGTTGCAGGTACCTGTGCACTTGACCGAGGTCGAGGCAAAGCCGTCGGTCGGACACGAACCCGCAGTCCCGGAGCACGTCTCGGCCACGTCGCAGTCGCCCTTGGACGCACGGCACACAAACTTGGAGTTCTGGTACGCGTCCGCGCAGCCACCCTTGCCGTCGCAGTAGTCTTGCGCATCACACGCCCCACCGTTCGACTTGCCAGAGCACGTGACCGAGGTCGAGGCGTACGCGTTGGCCGGGCACGCACTCGACGAACCCGTACACGTCTCGGC